AAGGCGAACAGTCCCACGGATGTCGATGGGAGAACCGGACGGGCATAGTGACACCTGATAACGGGAGAGAACATTACACTACCCTCTAATCCCATGCTCCATTGAACGTGCCACCACAAAACGCCGCCGCTCCGTCCGCGCCGGCCGGTTCGCGCGCGGACGTTAACGCGTCTCGGCGGGATGAATGCCGCTTTTAAGACGAAATACGCAGCTTTTCGGGCGTTTACGTCAAACAGGAAGGCCCGCCAGATATTGGAAATGCAACTGGCCCCACTGAGGATTGCACAAAACTGCGATGATTTATTTACTAACGACTCACACGTCCTAGAAAATGCCAAAGCGCTGGTAATTTGGAGACTAGGGCGAACGCTCTGCACCATATCAAGGCACAAAGCCCCAATTAGAGACTATATAAATTCACAAATCGAACGTGCGGTTGTCGACGAGCAGTACAGGCCGAACGGGTTCTGATATTTGCATATTTATCACGATCAGTCGCAGAGAAGATTAGCTTTAATGGATGCAGTCCAACTAAATTGACCTTAGCGGAACATTTTTAACGGTGATCGAATAAGGACAGATTGTGGGTAAACTGAGGACAATGATGACGGTGGCACAATTTGTTGTTACTCGGCGTAATTGATGTCATGCAGGAAATAGACCGTAAACCTATTCACTGTCATGCCCAAGAACCAAAACGTTTTGGATCATAATGGGGTTCGATCTTGAGTGTTTGTTCATAAAAATATGGCATTGTTTAAACGTTTACAATAACTGCATCAATGTAATGTCAAACATTGTACAACTTCACGAGACTCAATGATTCTCCAAGTAACGAACTAACACAACACACAATATCAAAACGCTTTCAATGACATCAGCGGGGGGTGACAGCCGACCGGCAATGGCCCAGTGCTTTTCAATTGCTTAGAAAGAAAATTACGTCTACGACAAGACAATGCCACGGGTGTCTTCACCAAGCTCATTCATATAAAAAACATATTTCAAAATGCACCAATTCGTGACGATTCCGATAGTTCTGGAGCAGCCTTTGCCATGCCATGCCAGCCAATGCCATGCCTTTCATCCACGTCCCATAAAGACGCGTGTGAAGACACGCTCGGGTTGGGGAATTACCGAGATCTGGAGGAAATACACTGCTCGTAAATCGTGCTCTTACCGGGATATTGCAAATTGGTCTATTTTATGACGAATGATGGGCACAAAAGGTGCGTTCTTGCAAATTTGGGGCAAACGTTCTCACGCACACTTTACAGGTAGCATCTATGCAGCCGTGAGCCGATCAGAATCTTTAACTGAAGCATCGTTATCGCTGGACAATTCTTTATAAATCATTATATGCCGTGAGCTAGTGCGATGATACGTGGCTTCAACTAGGTGAATTTCTTCATGCCATCTTTTGTGAGCGTTTTGTCAGGAGGATCAATTTTAACGTCAAAGCCTACGATAATGAAAGGCATGACATGTACTGCATGATACAATTACGTACTTTGAAGCAATATTTTACAATTGAGGCTTTCTTAGTTCCGAAAAGCCGATCCTCTTCAGCTGGAACCTTTCGTGACAATGTCCAAATTTTCACAGCTCATAAGAGCGTCATCTGCCGAGCCCAAGTCCTGCGAGAGGCTGCGGCAGCGGCTGCCGGCCGGCTGTCACCTGCCGGTGGGCCCGGGGTCGCCGACAGACGCGTCCCGCGGTGCTCGTGTACAGTCGTGATGTGTCCCACAGATGGCGTAGTCACGGCGTGTCTCTCAGCTGGTGCACAATCCCACTGTCTTTGAGTTGATGAAGTCCCGACGTGCCCATAAGTGTTACAGTCCCGGCATGTCTTTCAGCTGGTGTACAGTCCAAGCGTGTCTCTCAGCTGGTGTACAGTCCCGGCGTGTCTTTCAGCCGGTGTACAGTCCCGGCGTGTCTTTCAGCTGGTGTACAGTCTCGGCGCATCTCTCAGCTGGTGTACAGTCTCGGCGTCTTCCAGCCGGTGTACAGTCCCGGCGTGTCTCAGTTGGTGCACAGTCCCAACATGTCTTTCAGCTCGTGTACAGCCCCGAAGTGCCTCTAAGCGGGTGCCTGATCCCGGGATGTACGACACCCAGGCGTTTACTCCGGGAATACCTCTGCTCCCACCCAGAGAAAATGTTCCACATTTGAAGATATTAAAGCAAGAATCAGATATAATAAAAGAAGCTCACTTACAACTCTTGGCGTAATTTAAGTGGAAGAGACTGCTCCAGGCAACACAACTCTCTGCTAAGTAAAAGGCTCCTCAATACGTCATTGTTTGATTGGGCCATCGTACCTTGCACAACATTGATTGAGAACCAATCGACGACCGTTATATCTGGAAATCATGAGCACTAGATATGGACCACCCGCCAATTATATTTTTTCTTGGCCTTGCTCGCCACACGACCAATGGAATGGCTGGATTCAAATGCCGTTATTATGGAGCCATGGATGCCTGGGTGCCCTTGAAATAGTCTGCACGAAAAATCTGCACATAGCCGCGTGCGTGTAGCCCATAAACTAAATTAATGTAGGTCTTAAGACGGAGATTGCTGTGGACAGAACCGCACCAAATGATCTTGAAGATGGCTGTTCAGTTCAAACTGTGTTCAAAAATCATACAAATGTGGAACAATCCCATTAACATAGTATCTAACCAGTAACTATTGTAACATAACTTATCTAGTCATCTTTGTGCAGTCCCAGGATACCCCCACTCAAAAGTTGCCCAGTGAGCCATGACCAGGTCTGCGGCCCCATCAGTCGTCCAGTGAGCCATGACTAGGTCTGCGGGCCCCGTCAGTCGCCCAGTGAGCCATGACTAGGTCTGTGGGCCCCGTCAGTCGTCCAGTGAGCCATGACTAGGTCTGTGGGCCCCGTCAGTCGCCCAGTGAGCCATGACCAGGTCCGCGGGTCCCGTCAGTCGCCCAGTGAGCCATGACCAGGTCCGCGGGCCCCGTCAGTCGCCAAGTAAGCCATGACCAGGTCTGCGGGCCCCACCAGCCGGCCAGTGAGCCATGACCAGGTCCGCGGGCCCCGTCAGTTGGCCAGAGGGTGAGGAGCGGCCGCGTGCGTCCGTCTGTGAGCGGAAGCCGGCGTCTGTCGGCGGTCCCGGGCCGCGCGCGTCGCGAGCGGCGCCTACCTGTCGTCGAGCTCTCGTCGCCGGCCGGACGCTGAGACGGACCGGCCACCGCGCCGCCCACTGAAACCGCACGGACACACGCGCTGCCAACGACCGCCGCCAGCCACACACACACCCAACGACAGCATGGCACTCCTAGTCACCTCGGATCACAGTGGAGTCCAAACGTTTTGCACGGGTGCGACGCTGTGAAGCCCAGATGCGCGCGGAAATGTCGTGGTTTTGGACGGCTTTGAGTGATAACCATCCGTCATCCACATGGTAGCTGGTTGTATTGCATTGCACAAGGTAATCCGACATCGCCATGACAGGCCGACCTTACTGCATCCACATGAATAAATCAGTTCACGACACTAACTACAGATAAGGCAATATGGTGTGCATCGTCTCTCAAAAGTTGATTAAGTACCTACAATGGTAGATAGACATCTAGAAGTTATATGACCATTCACAAATACGCAAACCAAGCATTCGCTATTCACCTGACGAACTCCAGCGAGCAGCCTCCACCAGCTGTTCATAACTCACCCGCTGCCGCCGTGGCGCCGCCGGCCACCATGGCGCTGACGGAGAGGTCCGGCTCGCCGTAGCTGCCCTCGTATTCGGCCACATAGCCGAGCGTGGCGTCCAGGCTGACGTCGCCGTCATCCTCCTCCGTCAGGTCCACCTTCTCCACCTTGACGCTGTCCGGCGGCGGCGGCGAGGCGGCCGCAGCGGCGACCGGCGGCGGCTGGTACGCCGCCGCCGCCGGCGGTGGCGGCTCGGCTGAGGGCAGCGAGGCGGGCCGCGGCGGCGGCGGCGGCGCCGGCGCCCGGTGGTTGGCCGGCGGCGGCGTGTCGGCGCGGCGGCCCGGCTCGGCCGGCGAGCCCGGCCGCGGCCTCGCCGGCGCCGGGCTGCCGGTCGGCTCGGCGCCAGAGGTGCGCCGCCGCTTGGCTGCCGGCGGCGGCCGTGGCGAGCGCGGCCGACTGGCCGCCGGCGCCCGGCCCTCGGTGGGCGGGGACGGCTGCCGACACAGGGCCCGGGTCACCGCCCAGCACCGCTCGGGTCACGTGGCCGGCGCGGCCGACAGCGGACGCCGCACCTCACCCGGCCGCCGCCGGTGGCACGCACAGTGACCTTGCCTGACTTACCACTGGCGGCAGGCCACCAACTTCCTCAAAGAAGGGCGTTTCAACGTGTCCAAAAGAAAAGAGACGAGAGGAGCAAGTCCATGTGTCGGAGCAAAAAGCTCAAATAAGCACATGGGAAAGTTGTGCAGACGAATGATCCCACAGAGCGAAACCCATGCGTACTCCACATAGTGTTCGCGATTATCATCACGATCTTACTGTCAGCACTTATCAGCAACGAAATGTGAAAACCGGTCTGACGCAACCACCTGACAGGAGTTAAGTCGCATCGTCATTGTATGAGCCAGCGCATAATTTTGCGGATACCGAGACATGATTATTTCCTCTACACAAGGAAACTTCGGGAACAAGACCGTCATATGGGGTTCGAAAGTTGTCTTGCAAGGACGTCATTTTACACGTAACAAGTTGGGGACATTTCCTGCACACAACTGTCAAGCTATGCCTATTCTGCACGTCCCCAATACATTCCAATGTTGTTGGAGCGAATTTTCGAGCTTCAATGAAATCCACTCTACACAATGAAATTTTCATTACAATACAATACAACTGAAAAACTGATGCACATAACAGAACAAGGCTCAATAAAAAACTCACATTCAAATGAAAAGCATTTGCATAACTTCCCTCACAAGACTTGACCACATAGTAGTCATATCACTGAGCAGGTACTGAACAATTTGCTGAACCCTGCATCCCTGTTACGTAGCATCTCTGGTGCCTGATATGGTTTGTCGTTCGCCATATCCCACCTTGTCGTCATCCCCACTGAGACCGCGGATCTGCAGCATCTCCGCCGTCTTGATGAAGCTGGCCAGCTGGCTCTGGGCCACGTTCACACTGCCCTTGTACATGAACTCGATGATGGCCAGCAGGTCGGCGGCCGACGTGTCCTTCAGGAAGAACACCATCTGCTGACACGGGTTGTTCTGCAACAAGCCAACATGTTATAAGCGAAAATGTGGCCACAAGCAAGCAAGACCTGACATAACAATGTGCTCTACTGCTGTGAATCTTGAGAACATTCCCCCACAAATGGTGAAACAGTGTTACTATGTTAACACTGTTGATATGCAAGAACTATGGATGAAATGCCAGCTGAGTGAGCAAAAAAGAAACAGGTTATGCATGGACACCCAGTTAGCAGACATTGTGCATCATGGTTCTTCAACTCCGTTAAGCTGCCATGTGTGACAAAAAGTTGGTCTTTCTACATAGTTAAAGGCTGTCATTTTAATCCAAGGAAATGTGAGCCCACCAAGGACCATAAGTACAATCCCTGGCTAATGGTTGGCTCCAGTTCTTCACTTACTCTGAGGAGATCCCTGAAGTATGGACTGCATGCAGACAGCATCATTCTGTGTGCCCTGACTTTCTGGCCCTCACAGCACAGGGTGATGTCCACCAGCTCCTCATCTTGTCGGAGGTGGTCAAACAGAGAGGTGACACTGCTCTGGAACCCATCCCACTTGAGGCAGAACTTCTGACCATCCATTATCTGCAGAAAATGGAGCTGTGACAATCACTATGTCCTGCACAACCATGTGGCATAGTTGCCACACTGATGCCACTCATTATAATGTCAGCCATACAGTGGTCATAAACATTGGGATTCAAACCTTCACCTTCTTTACATACCCTATGCTCAGATTCATACCTATATTCCTTACATATGTACTGATAAAACATGTTTGCCTTTGTTCCATATTCCATACTGAGAGTGCTCTTTTGAATGCATGCCTACAAATGTAATGAAAACTTATATTAAAGGTGACAATGGCCACCAATGAAAAATCCCCATATAACCACATCCCTAGACAAACAAACCCCAAATAAATACCAGTTATGGTACTTGTATCAAGTTACCTGGTATCACCCATGCACATACACATTTGACATTCCACACTTATGACCAAAAAGCATCAACCTTCCAAAGCCCTAACTTAAAAGGCAGCAGTGGCTTCATGAATCATTCAACATAACTCATGTTCACCACTAGGTGCATCTGGATCCACCACTGCCAGTTTAGTTTACATGAGCCAGAACTTGCCTCGACATGATTTGCCTAGATAGACTGCCATGATTTAATTTGGTCAAAACATTGGCAAGTTTAAATATAACAACCATGCCTTTAAGCTGCCAATGATTCATCATGACATGCTTCCCCAAAAACATAAATCCCTCAGGCTATGGTCTGAGTCCAAGTTGTGCCAATACCCACCATATGACTCAAGTACTATAAATAGTTAAAAACTAATAATTCATTGCTAATTGCTCAATGTTTGATAACTCAATATTGCACATCATTTTCAACCTGAACCTTGAATGGTTTGCATGAATGGCCTTGGGTCTATAAAACTTGCTTACTGGAGCTTCTCATACTCTGGATTGCCACCTTCATGGATATGATGATCCACTCCAAAAGATAATTCATCCTCCAGCCTTCTTTGCTAGACAACACTGCAGAGGTGTATACATATTCTACAACATTGCAACATGGCTAACCCAGGCAGGTTCATCCTCTGGCTGGTTGCCAGCCGGCCTTTCCATGCAGGTTTGTCTGAACAATGTGCCAACCATGTTTGTTTGAACAACGTACCCACCCAGTGTGTCTGAACAATGTGCCTACTGGGTCTGTCTGCACAATGATCACACCCAGTTTGTTTGAGTTATGTGTCCACCACAGAATTAAGAATCAGTGGTAATCCCTGTAACCCATGAAGCAGTCAAAATGCAGTCAGGTCCATTCCCCTGAGGTCCAACTTCAAAAAACATAGCTGGCATAATTATATCAGATGCAAATCCACAATATTTCATGTTACTTTGTATATGACACTCAAATGCAGGAAACACCTCAACACAATCTGATTCTGCATTGGTGCTTCTTTAATGGAATTTGTGAAAGCAGAAATGGGTACATGCCTTTCAATGTACATCTACAATTTGAAAACTGGGGTCACTAACAGTTGGTCATGCACACATGTAGCACTGGTAGACATAATGACATTGATGACCCATCAAGACATGAAACCGACTTAGAGTGCCGTCATCTTTGGTTTTCAGGCATCAATTATGTAGAATATTTTATTGACAGTACATTGTATATCTATTGTAGTCTGGTGAAGACCAACATCCTTTCCTACAATTTAACAAAATTCAACCTTCCACATAAAGATTTTCAACCCGCCAAGAATTTGTACTCTGCAACCATGAAACACCCATAAACCCCATCCCGAGCCAATATGTTCAAATCCAATTTTCCACATGACAATACAAGTATCTTTAATGTCTACAGAGTGAAACTTCCAAAATGAAAACAAAATCTGGGAAAGGGCCCAAAAAACAACCGTTCATGCCAACAACACGATCGATCATATATTTCATCGCTCATAGAGTAAAAAGCATGGGCAGGATCATTGGAAGCCACCACGCATGACATGCATGGAGCGAGCGTTTAAGGCACGAATTGTGGATCGCGCAGTTCTCATCTGTCACAGAACGACACAATCTGCCTGTCATGACACTTACTTAATATACCCGGTCTGAGTCAATATTCACGGACGCCCTCCAACGCCATCCGGCCACCAATTCCAACAAAGCTCTCAAAGCACTACATTTGTCTCACCAAATTTGCGTTGGTTTCGCCATTTTAAATCGGGCGTCACTAAACTACTGCCATACAGGCTAAAACTCCATCTAGCCATAGGATGCAATTGTCAGACAACGACCCATTTGCCTCATACTCCGGAACATATAAATCTAGGATCATTCTTCGGGAGTCAGCAGTCAAAAGTAGCTTGATGTTGCATTGGTTGAATTTAATTTTCCAGTGATATCAATCTACGCATTCACATTACTTGGAATGCAGGCCAATCCAGTCATTTGAACACAAACTCATAGTAAGTACAACAATACCTACGAATCAATTCGAGCCTCTCCTGTCCGATTCTCTTCATATATTTGTAGTCTAACACTCACTGCGCATTTGCGTTGTCTTAGAGAAGATGAAACACCGGAGTCATGTATTCATTATCTTTGATCATCGGGCAAGAATTTCACCATCGCACCAAGGCCGTGGTGGGGTGGGTTATGCATGATTGGACCATTTAGGAAGTGGTGCGATTGAGGCCCCCTATCGTGAGAGCAGATAATTCAATACCCATTCATCATGAGAGCAGATAATTCAATACCCATTGGTTTTGCAGTCGGCCAAGTTAATTAAGATCCAGGTCCTTCTTGTATGAACTACTTGAGTCTTTATCGTGTATACTGGAAAGCCATAACATCTGCACTTAAGACGAGCTGGTCATTGACAGGGAAAAGTGTGACATAATAGGATATGTAGCATCAAGGGCGAGGAGCCGGAGACAGTGGCGTCCCTCGCCCCCCCCCCCTAACCTGAATGCTGAGGGAAGGGGGGGGGGGGCGCCGCCCCATCTAACTTAACTCCAACAACTTGTGGAGGGGACAACACTACTTCGCCGTCTTCTATCCAGCCAAGTGCAAATTACGAAACCGCTTAACATATTTTCTTCAGTCAAAGTTAATCGGAAGCCAGAATGCGGTTTCATCAGGCGCTCTGAAAATGGTGATATCAGGTCACCTTCTTTCCGTTCAAAAACCGCGTAAACCACTTTGGGGCGTTGCAACCAAGTCCAAACTCGGACACCGCAAAGCCGATCTGCCTGGAAACCTAACCAGAAGATAGAGCACATTGTATCAAGGGGCGCTGTAACGCTGGTGTGCTGCAGCGACTTGCTTGCTTCGTAAGTGATCCTTGAGGTTGCGCGTATTTTTCTATGCTCGCTATTCGGGGGCATGATTTATACCTTTTTGTCCCTTCGTAGTTGGTCCGTGTTGTTCACTATATCAGATAACTTAACTGCTATACTGCACAACGCGCATCTGCTGCTTCGTTTTGCAAGCACGTACTCACTAGAGTTGCGCGCCGTGGAACGTTCTGCAGCGCCCCCTTCCCAGAGACTGGAGGACGCCCGCCAACGCCCCGCGGCCCCGCGGTGTATCTAGACTGACGCATGCTGCGTAGCGTCAGACGAGGTCCGACCACGACCAGGGTCGCGACTCTGCGTAGCTTACACAACGCGAGCGAGTCGGACTATCTTGCGATCGAATATAGACAACCTCTTTACATGCATTTTTAATTGTCAGTGAGAAGAGGAACGCTGATCACGAAGGTGAAGCGTTGCAACATACCGCTTCATCAGTCGTTTCGAAGCTGGTAACTTCAGGTCACGATCTTCACCTTCGATAACCGCATAAGCCACCTTGGGGCATTGTTGCCGAGTCTAAGCACGGAAACCGCTCAATAGATCGTTTTAGAACCTTCACCAGAAGAAAGAGCACATACCAGTTCAAGAGCCGCTCTAAAGCTGGTGGCTACAGGTCATCACGTTTATCTTCAAAACGCACATAAGTCGCTCTGGGGCACTGCAGCCAAGTCCTAACTCGACATCTACTCTACCGATCTGCCTGAAACCTTTACCAGAAGAAAGAGCACATACAATTTTGTCAGCCGTTCTGAAACTGGTGGCCTCTTGTCACCGCGTCTTTCTGAAACTGGTGGCCCCATGTCCTCGCCTTCACCTTAAAAAATCGCATAAATCACTTTGGGGGCATCGCAGCCAAGTCCGAGGACGAACTGCGAAACAGATCGTTTTAGAGGCTTTACGAAAAGAAAGAGCGCACATGGTTTTATGGACCTTATTTAAAACTAGTGACCGCAGGTCATAATATTCACCTTCGGATTCCATATAAGCCACCTTGTGGCATTGCAGCCAAGTCTAAACTGGGAAACCGCTGAACTCAACTGCCCGGAACCTTTACCAGAAATCTGAGCCCGCACTATTTTATCAGCTGTCCTGAAACTGGTGACGTCATGTCACCATATTCACCTTCAAAAACCACATACATCACTTTGTTAGACTGCAGCTAAGTTCAAACATGGAAACCGCTCGACGGATTTTTTTCGGAACCATTAACTAGAACAGCATATACAATTGCATCAGCTGTTCCGAACCCAGCAACCTCAGGCCACTTCCTTCACCTTCAAAAACTGCGTAAGCCCCAGTGGGGCATTGTATCGAAGCTCAAACTCAGAAACCACTCATCCGATCTCCCCGAATCTTTGTCAGACGATAAGGCACATAAATTTTATCAGCCGTTCCGAAACTACAAGTGGCTGACATAGATGCATACAACTCAGCTCATCGCATTTCTATAAAATGGCTCATTCCAAACGTATTCCGAATTCAATAAATTTGCTTTGACTATTGGGTGCTATGGAGGTTGCAGAACACTGCTTTATCGCAGTGTAAAATGTCAAGTGAAACACCTGAAAGCATTTTTCAAACATTTTGAAAAAAAACATTCACTGCATTTTCCCTCCCCTGGTAGGGGAGATCGATGCGACCTCCAAAAGGTCTTTGAGATACCTCCCCGGCAATTGGTAAAATCGAGTCCAAATTGTCAGCAACC